AATGCCCCTCTAATTGAGTCAATCTTTTTTATCACACCTATAGGGATCAAGTAAGCAGACATTAAGAACACAGGAAGACTACTTAGCACAGAGTTGATGCAGAACAATTCCACCACCCATAGATAAATATATGTCTACTATTTTTTACTTTTATTTTAATTTAGTTTAGTTTATTAACTTTGTAATAAGTTTCACTACGTTTGATCAAATTGATTTTCAATTATATCTTTCGTGAATCTTTACTTTTTGAAATTAATTTTAAGATAAAACTAATTTTATGAGGATAATAAATTCACTTTTACAATCTAAGAGACTAACTTTTATTACATGTTGTTTTAATTTTTCTTTACAGTAGAATCCATAATTATTAATATATTTTAATAGTTTGCATAGTCTATTGTAAATTACTTTGCTATTCGAGATTATTTTATTTTAATTTTGATTTAACCATTTCTTATTAAAATTAATGAAAATTTTGTACAGTAAATTATTTTAAAATATTTTACAAATTTTATAAACCATTTAAAAAAGAAAAATACTATGTGCACTCTCCGGTTTGACACCCGGGGGTGCACACCCTTAATAACTAAATAATTTTAACAATAAAATTACATATTTAACTTTAAAAGTCCTCTTCCTCTCAATACCCCTTTTTCTTCTTGTCTCTCCATCTTCCTCTATCGAACTTCTCCTTCTTGGAAACCAGATTTGCTTCACCCTTTTATGTTTTTTTTTTTTTGGGCTGCTTGGCGATGACAATGATGATGACGGTGATGGTGATGGAAAACAGAGGGATCTATGGTTCTGCCCCTCTCCTTCTATTTCGATGGTGATGATGAGATGCAAGGAGATGGTCTCTAGGTTCTCCAGGATCTGGGTTCTTCGAGAAAAACCCAAGGGTCTAGGTTCTCTCGAGAACCCGGGGTTCTTTTCGGAGAACCCAGACCTAGGTTCTCCTCAAGAACCCGGAGTTCTTCTTGGAGAACCCATCTGGGTTCTCCAATGGGTTCTCTCCAAAACCTGGAAAAAAAATGGGATAAATTTGTAATTTTACTTTTAAAATTAGTTGGTTAAGTGCAGTGTACACCCCCAGGTGTTGAACTGGAGTGTGCACAAATCATGATCCTTTAAAAAAAATTGACTTTCTAAGTTAAAATAAAATTAAAATGATAGTTAATTGAACCAACCATTGAATTAAGCCCATTCTAGTTTGAATAAAGCCCAAATCGCCTATTCACAATGCTAGAAAAAGAAAAGAGAGAAAAATGTACGTATATTCTTGAACCCATTTCTCAATGTATGTATATTCTTAACCCATTTCTCATTCTTTGCTTTGGAGGTACATGCCCACCAAGACAAACAAGATGATGAAGGCAGTTAACGAAAAAATAAGGGTCTCACTTCAAGCAGTGATAAACATAAGAGAGAAGGCAATGAAAGCGGGTGAGATTGTTGCCAATAATGACTTGCTAGGGATTCTTATTGAGTCCAATTTTAAAGAAATTCGGGAGCATGGTGATGCTAAGAATGTTGGGTTGAGTAGCAATGAAATCATCGATGAGTGCAAACTTTTCTACATTGCTGGCCATGAGAGCTCCTCAAACTTGCTTATTTGGACAATGGTTTTATTGGCAAAGTACCCCGACTGGCAAGCTCGGGCAAGAGAAGAGGTTTTAAATGTCTTCAGTGATAAGAAGCCAGACCTGGATACCTTAAATCGTCTAACAATTGTAAGTTTTGTCCAATTTGACCAATTAATCACTTAGTTTTTGTCATTTCATAACGGCAAATTACTCATGATCTAATTTTCAATGAACTTTATGCATCAGATAACAATGATCTTGTACGAGGTACTGAGGTTGTACCCGCCAATACCTACACTCGAACGAGCAGTTCACAAAGAAACAAAATTGGGGAGCACCATATTACCAGGTGGAATTCATGTTTTGGTACCAGTGATCCTGCTTCACCATGATCGAGAACTCTGGGGCGAGGATGCAAGTGAATTCAGGCCAGACAGATTCGCAGAGGGAGTTGCAAAGGCAACAAAGAATCAAATGTCCTTTTTCCCTTTTGGATGGGGTCCTAGAGTATGCATTGGACAAAACTATGCTCTGACCGAAGCCAAATTGATTATTGCAATGATTCTGCAGAACTTCTATTTTGAGCTTTCCCCAACCTACACTCATGCTCCCTGCGTCGTTATGGCTCTTCAACCAAATCCAAATTTCGGTGCTCACATTATCTTACACAAACTCCAGCACTAAAGATTCCAGTTACAGGGATGCAAAGATTGTCTCTTCTTCAGGCTTTGGCACTTTTAGAGGATGGTCTTACCTCCGTTGCATTATTATGTTGCTTGAAATAAGATCATGTACTGACGTTATAAAAAAGACTGTCAATATCTTTTCCTTCTATTGCCATTATCATGACACATGGTCAATGCAATCTTCCAAAACTTTGTCAGTCTATCTTTTAAAAGTAATTTTCTTTGAATATATGCACTACCCTATGCCTTGAACATGATAATTGATGTCCCATGGTCAATGCATGCATTTTCATCTCACGAGGTGTGTGTGTCATGCTCTACATCTCCGTATATATATTCTCTTCTCTTCTGCTAATAAACATTTCGCATTTCTTAGCGCTGTAGAGGCCAACAAACACTAGATTTCATGAAATAGTAATGGAGCTTACTTTTGCAACAATAGTGCCATCCATTATTTTTGGTTGGAATCCAAGTATATATAGGCTTGGAGAATTATGAATTGGTTGTGGCTAAGGCCAAAGAGCCTAGAGAGAAGCTCTTGAGACAACAAGGTCTAGCTAGCCGGGAATTCTTATATCAGATATTAGTCAGAGACATGAAACAGTGGCACATGCTGGCAAAGCTAGTAAAATCCAAACCCATGAATATTCTCACAGAAACTGTTGCACTGCATGTTGCTCCATTGCAGATTAATTAGTGAAGACGTATGGCACGTAAGTGATGATATGATTGATGTTCTTACTTCTTCATGATTTTTTTTTTCCTTTTTTTCTTTTTGATCTTGGGTTATATAATGAGAAACATTCCTCTTTTATCCCTTAATCTATTCCACTCATGTATTATGTAAGTCTCTTTACATTGGGAATCAAATTTATGGAGAAACTTGATCAACCTCTTGAATGCACCCTGATGAAAAGGTGTTTACTTGAAGTTTTGTTTGTACTTTTTTCTCCTTGGTGGAGATTTACCTGGTTTTACATGGAGTGTTTACAAAAGGGACCGTGCATTAATCAAACCTGAAAGCCATGTATGTAACCCCTGCCTGACTGATAATTTTAAGTTTTACAATTTGATATATTAGATAGGATGGACATTTCAAGTGGTATGCTAATGGTGGTCTTATTTAGATTCTTTGGACAAATTCCATTTGTTTCTTTTCTTCTCTTTTATTATTATTTTTAATCATAAGCTATTTTATAGTTTCTGGTTTGTTATTCTTAATTCAGAAAATCATCAGCATATTTGAATTAGGGAATACTGATTTTGAATTTTTGACCCATGTTCTACAATTCAATTTTGAATCATTATTTAGTCGTTCGATCCTGTAAATCAATTAGAAAAACATAGCCCATGTATCGATTCCAATTAAAATCTATTCAAATGACACTAATTTGCAATGGTGCTGTTGAAGACTCAAACCACTTATCCCTTCATTGCACAACAGCCTATAAGCTTTGGTCAAAATGTTTTTGCTGGTAAGGAATAGAACATGTAATGCCAGAAACTTTTTGGGATGCCTTCACCCAACACAAAGATCTTCTCACCAATGCAACTGCAAAAAAGGCTGGGACATTATATGGTTTGCAGTTACGTGGACTATCTGGTTGGCTAGAAATGAGGTAATATTCTGGAACTGCTTGGACGAGGGGAAGCTATTCGACTTGGTGCAGGCCCATTCATTCCAGTGGCTCAAATGCAAAGGTGAGGGGAAGGGGATTGCACTTCCTGATTGGATACAACAACCAAGATTAAGTAGTCTTGCAGCCTTCACAGCAAAAAAATGTGAAATTCAAACAATTTGATCACAAGAACCCTGGGCTGTGCTTTCTCATTTTCTTGTAATATGAGATCGGAGTACCTTTTGTACTTCAAATAAATAAATAAATAAATTTTGCTGTTAAAAAAAAAATGACACTAATTTGCAAGAAGAAGGCATAGTGTCGTGAAGTTTGTTTCCAACAAATTTAATCCCAAATACGAGCCTAAATAATCCATTCCAAGGGATTAAACATGATAAATCATTTGTATAAGTCCTGAAACATGCTCTACCAGATTATTGGTGCAGAAAACCCCCATCTAATGTTCCACTTTCTGGAGCTTAAAATTATGTTATGAGGATTTATTGTAAACAAAAATTATACAAATTTATTTGTTCTTTTTCCTTAAATGAGAGTTGGTTATAACTCATGGGGATATTATCACCTCTTTTAGATTAAAAATCAGTGTCTTTCTTCTCTTTCCTTTCCAAAAAATGGCAATGAGAGAAAGTACTACATTAATTTCATTGGCTCAAGCATCAAAATTGATTTTCTTAAATATATTATGTTAATGTAAAAAGTACACAAAATCACTTGAGAATGTATTAATTTTAAGATATATAAAAATTAATTAAAAAATACTATGATCGTATATACCAAAAAATGAAAAAAAAAAAAACCAATAAAAAGAAACATAATAGTATACATAGCAATATCTTATCTTATCTTATCTTTTCCTTTTTCCATATATTTATCTATATGTATCCTCTTAAGATGAGATTAAGAGTATTCAATTCTAAATTAAAAATTTTAAATTTAAATTCTAACTTAAATGAGGAGAGATTTAAAAAAAAAAAAAAAAAAAAAAACCTATTCACTCTTTATATAACCTACTATCAAATCTACTAAAAAAATAAAATCTATATGTGAATTAGGTAGAGAAATCACTTCCTCATCTAAATATCAAAATTTCTTAGCAAATACTAAATAGTCACTACGAGCCCTTGATGACCCATACCAAACTTAATTAACGCATGTTATTAGTATTTTTTCTTTTTTTCCTATTGACATTTTTAGCAGAGAGATTAAGCTGTTAGAACTTCATACAAACATCTACTTCTCTGCATTACACCCATTGGAAAAGATCGACATTTTGAAAACAAAATTTTCAGAAAAGGAGTAAGAGTTCAATCATGTAGTATCATCCCCACAATTAGTCTCCTCAAACTGGAGTCCCGCGGTAACAAGATCATAAATAACCCTCATGTTCTGTTGATGCCATGCTCCCAATACGGTCCTCTTATCACCGGCCACTAAGGCGACACAAAAATACGCTTGCTCGGTGTCAATGAAATGCGCAAACTTCCCCTCTACAGTATAATCAGCCGCTTGAAAATGATACGTTAGGCTCGCAAAGTCCTGGAAACCTGGAGGAGTTGTTTAACAGAGTGTAAACCCCTGATGAGGCACCTTGCCTCTATCCTCTGAAGCTGACGGGAATCGTAGCACCGTTGAAACGCTCTCATCACAATCCTGAATGCATTGCCTCCCACTGTGGCCTGATCAATTCAAGGGATAAGCGCTCCAGAGTCTATAATGCAGCCACCTGACCCATCTGCCATGACCTGGAAGGTTTCTGGTGAAAATCCTATTCGTTGAGATGCCACATTCATGTCTAGTAAATTTAACAAGTAAAAAAATTGTTCAGGCACATAGACGAAACGTCTTGTATGAAGGTTGTACCGTGGAGGAATGTCCTCGCCGAATCTGAGGAAAGAGGGAGTCTGTAGTGCTTGAGTGAAAGGAACTAGACAGTAAGAAAAGCGCCCTTGAATAATACTGCCGAATACTTGTTGATTGAGCAGTGATTGGGCAGATTTGTCTAATCCTAAGATGCCTGAAATCACTCCATTCTTCGCAAGTTGTATCTTTCGGTTATCGTTGGAGCAGCCAAAGGCAGTGTTGTCAATAACTGTTGCGGTAAGAGGAGTTATCTGAACAAGAAAAAGTCTATGGAGTTAATACATTATGTGTATTGAGCTAGATATAGAATATTAGGATTCCAAACATCAACAATATATAAGAAAAAGCTCCAAAATCTAATCCATTTTTTCGTATAGTTAACATGTTTGCTAATCCTATTCCCCCTATATGCTCATGTATAAATAGTTTGCCATATATAGTTGTGTTTTTCTATTTTTTTTTAATTCTAGTTTTAAATAATTTTGCAACAAAAATTGACAAGAAGTTTTAACATTGTAAACTAAACATATAAATTTGTTTAGTAGTTTTAAAATTATTTTTGTTCTTTTTCTGATAATTATAATAATATGTTAAATGGTATTTAAAATAAATGAATTTCTTTTTATTGAAGTTGCAAAATTTACAAAAGCTAAAATTATAAACTGCAAAGTGCAAACCACAAACATACTAAACAATAACCATATCAATTACACATTATCTACCTGAAACGCGAAAGTTTCAAAGGCCATGACGCCACTTGTGGTGGCACCTCCACCATAGCGTATGTTGTAGAAACATACGCCGTTTTGACAATTAATGCAAAGACGGTGATTGCAGGGGGGTGGCCGGTAGCTAAATGAGGATCGAGAATCGAACTTGGGTGTTCTCATGGGGTAACAGTAGATACAGGGCTGACACTGTGTCCAAGTAAGGCCATAGCGCGCGGTGTCCATTAAAAGGTACAACGGTACACCATTGCTTCCAATGCCAACCTGCACCATGTAGAAGAAATTGTCCCGAAGCATGGGTAAGTTGATGTTATCAGGGGCAAAATCTGTTGCATTGTAAGCTGAATTTGGCTCAAGATAACAAGCTTTTGCATTGGAAAAGTTGATCAATCTTTCGATTCTTTCGAGTTGGGTGAGGTCTCCGGGTACAGAGGAGACTCTGGAGAGTCCCTTGGCATGAGCCTTAGGCTAAATCCAGTAGGTTTTGAAGCGGCGAAATGTATTTGGAAAACAAGTAAGAGGACAAGAAATATCATTGCAGCCATTTTAGAGGATGAAAAAAAGGGGCAGAAACTTTGCTTTTATAGGTAGCATTTCATTTAATTGAAATAAAAATTTAGAATGGGATTGGGAAGAAAAAATTTTAGAAATTATTAATTTCTTTGTTTGGATTTACTAAAATGGTGATTGAAAATTAATGTGGGTTGATGGTTATTTTCATATATACCTTTTCCCCTTTTTTTGGCAATACAATTATTTTTTAGTACTAATAATAATAAATGATATAAGAGTGAATAGTTTTTCAATTTTTTCAAATCTCTTCCTACCTCACTTAAGGTGGGAACTTGAGATTTTTAATTTAAAAATTAGGTTCTTCATTAGTTAAATTAATTTTTAAATAAAAAAATATAAAGTTAAAATTATTAAATAAAAAATATTAAAATTTTACTGCTTTATTTAAAAACTCACAAAATTTATATTTTTATTAGTACTTACTTTTTTGGAGGCTGTAGGAGAGAGAGAGAAAAAGGTGAGAGAAAACCAAGCCACAATAATGATGATGAAGAAGAAAACAAGGCAAACTTGTAATGGCATGGGTAAAGCAGGTCCCATTTTTACATGTCATTAATTTTTTTTTTTTCCAAATCAACATTAGTTTTTGACTTCATTTTCCATGTAAGCAGTTAAATTTAAGTTAAAAATAGATTTAACAGAGGAAATGTGACATGTAAGCACTTAATGGACAGAGGCACAAACAAGGTTGGAAAAATAAACTTTAGAAACTAAAGGGTATTATAAAATAAAGAAAGAAACAATTTGAAGAAAAAGAAAGAATTAGAGAAACATAATGATGCAATGCAAAGATAAGATATATGATATTTTTATTCATTTCTTCACCATACATATTTGCAAGTGTATAAACACTATATAAGGCCAATGGGTGGTAGGGGTTACAAAAATTAAAAACCCACTAATTGAAATTTTACAAGAATTAATCACCTATTATTAGAGGGGTTACAAGTTAAGCCATACTATTTTCAATTACATTAGAAAGTGGTGTGTTAATTATCCCTGAATAAGAGTTAATCACCATTAGATGCATGGGGAAGTGAGGGAGTTACTCACTATTATATTGAGCATGGAAAATGCATGAGTAAGTGGAGAGATGAAAGATGAGGAAGATAAAACATTCACAATGAATGGATTCAAACAAATGGTTTTTTAAGGGATAAAAGAGCTTTCCTTCAAAGTACAAGGACCAAATTGGGCTTTTAATTTTACCTTTCCGTTTTTGCCAGCTCTTTTCTTCTGATAACACTGCAGTCCTACTCTTTTACTCCTTTCTCGACTGTTGGAGCTCCACAATCGTCTTCCCGAGCAGCATTATAGTTCGGAAAATGCAGCGGATAGGAGCAATTTCCAAACCAATGTGTGTCTATTCTCCAATTCCTCCCTTACAGAATTCCAATCCCACAAAGAAATTTCCAACAAAATTTCCAAACCCATTTTCTCAGTTGCACAAATTTTCTCATTTCTCTGTCCAGAAGAGCAAAACAACTCAAACCCATTTCACTTTGAAAGTTTCTTCTTCAGGTAAATTTTCATAATGTTGTTTCTTTTTGCTTATAATGAGTATTTGATCTGCATGAACGCTACATTGAATTTCAAGAGCTTCGATTTTCTTGTCTAATTTTGACTTCCATTCATGGTCAATGTGTATCTTGGAATTCCTTTCATTTTATGTCATGCAAATTTCGTTTCTAGAGAATTATACCAACATCAATTTACGGCAGGACATCATTTATCTGTGGAAGTTATTAATGTTTTTGGGAGTGAAATAGAAATGGATCTTAAATTTCTGCTCATTCATGATTCATGTTGCTGTCCAATGTACGTTTTCTATTTGTTTTTCGCTACTTCTGGTGTAGGATATATATTGGATTGAAATGTGAGATGAGCAGCACCCTTAACTTTTTCTAATAGACTTTGAATTTTTTTTTTATTGTGCACCTTCGTAATCTTTATTATTATTATTTTTTAAGATTTAGCACTGATTATTATTTTTTTCTCTTTTTTATTTTTATTTTTATTTTTTCTATGTCAAGTTTCCTTAGACTTTCTAAGTTACTCATGTAACGAGCTTTCTGTCAATGACTCCCAAACTAATTGGCTTTATGGCATTAGGTGAAGAGACACCCCTAAGAACGTAACAAAGGCCAGGAAACATTCGACTTCTTTTTTTTTTTTTTTCAGCCATACAACACATTCTTCCCAAAGCTATCACTTGTTTTTTGACGTGAATACCAACATTTGTGATGAAAGCACCCAGTTACTCAACAAGTTATAAACTCAAAGCACTTTGCATACTCATATTTCAAGTCACCGTTTGACGAGAAAAGTTGACATGGGTCTCATGCCTAACCCGTAGTTACTAAGCAACTAGAAACATTGGAGTTATCAGCAGGATGCAGCTACAAATTCTCTACTTCTTGTTTGTAGATTTTTCCGCTTTATCAGTATATTAAGTATTGTATCAGTAGTACTTCTCATTGCTGCAAACCACATTGATAATTAGAATGAGGCGACTGTCAAGTCTTGCATTACCGGATTGTATGTCATAGAAATTGTAATATTTTGGCTTTGTATCACATCTTGCCAGAAGGCCTAATAGATTGGAGAGAATGGTTTCTTTGTAGATTGCTACAGATGTTGGTTAGGAGGTGTTTTCTTCTTCTTCTTCTTCTTTTCTTTTTTTTTTTTAATGCTTTTTTTTGAATGGGAACAGTTTTGCTTATACATTTTTGTTATGTGATCTTATTTGAAACAGTGACCAATGAATTCTTGCATTGCTTAGCTGTTGTAGGCCAAAGCGGAAATTTTTAATAGAGAATTGTTTGGCTTGAGAATGTTATAAATCACTTATCATTATTACTTTTTTTTATGGCCTTGAGTGTTCATTAGTAATGGACATGGGATATCTAGATGCAAAGGAGGGGAACTCCTTTTGATTGATGATACTTTGTTAAAACTTAGAATAATGATGGGCTATGAAAATTGGGGTCTAGGCATGTTCAGCAACTTATTCTGTAGTCTAAATTATTCATTTGTCAAGTGGGATAGTTGTTGATGCTACTTTTTTTGTCCAAATTCTCAAGATGAAAACTTGGCAGTATTGCAGAGAGGATGAGTATGTGCCATTTGCATTTTGTTTTATGTTCATAATTAAGATTTTAAATTTTGGTGTCATCCCATATTGGTTTTGTTGGACTATTCACTGTTAGGCCTGTCCACTGATTTTCCACTGGTTTAGGTTGGGTGCCCTAGCATATTGCATTGTTGCTTTCCCTTTCTTTCTTTCTTCAGTTGACTTGTTTTCATAGTGCTAGGTACATTTATTCAACAGGTTCCATTGGACCTACATGCAAGAGTGGTCTGGTGTTAAGTTATAATATGATTTCATGTTGTATTAGTTTTGGGCGCATTGTGGCCCAGTATTCAGGTCCAGAATCTTCATCATTTTCTAATTTTTTTAAGGTCTGATTGCTTGACAAATATCAAGATTTATGTCTCATTTTAAGTTTATATGCAGTTGGAGGTACAGAAACTATGGAGGAACCTGCGACCAAAGTTAAATTTCAGACATCTTTAAGTTTGCCTGGTTGCTCAAGTTCATTGTCTTTGCTTGGAACAGGTAAGATGCAACAGTAACTCAGGGCATAATGTCCTTCGAAACCATGTACTTAATATCAACAATCTAAGATTGTGAAAAATGGAGAATTAAGTAGCATTAATTGCCTAAAGCTCGGGGTATACTTAGAGTAAGTATTGAGTTTATGAACATTTAGGAGCAGCATTTGTAATTGATGAAAATTAGGACTTTGTACTTGGCTTCCTGTTTTGATTCGACGACCTTCAACTAGGTCTTTATGTTGTTGGTATGAATTTAGGTACTCATTAAAAGAAATTTTCTTAAGTCTCCAAACTCTAGGGAATGAGGGGAAGATTCTTTTTTTTTTATAAATGTCTTTTAGGAAATTCACTATTAAGTATTGACATGCATATAGTCATTTATTTTGCATCAATATTTTGATGTTTGGATTGTTTGGACGTGCATACAATGGTTGGCAGAAAAAAGGAAAAAGGATACTTTGGATTTGGTGTATGCCCTTTTGAATGAAGTGCCTACCAGAGTGTCTAGCTTATTTAACCATAATAGTTGGCAGAAATGATGGCATTTAATTAAATTGCTCTCTAAACATATTTAAAATATGTGCAACCTCTTACATTGAATTAAGTTTTTCTTTTTTTTGGCCATAATATTAAATTATGTTTAAAATTATGCTATGTTCTTATATAAACCTGGTTTTAATATGAAGTCTCATTCTTGGAGGGTGGTTGCTAAGTTCTCCTCCTCCTTGTATTTTACTTTTATGTTTTTCATCAATAATCTGCTATGGGCCTTGTCAGACCTACGACCTTTTCCTAATCTGAAACAATAAAAAAAAAGAAGAAAAAAAGATCAGCATGCATATCTCAGTGTGTATTAAATTGGGAAAACAAATCAGCACTGGATATAAAAATGCGGTATCCATTTATAGCTGCTAAGGCTGTTGATCCCTTTCACTGGATGCTTTAAACCACCATAACTTAAGTCATCCATGATATTTCCAGGATACAGGGAGAAAGTATTTGCCATTCTTGGTGTTAAGGTCTATGCTGCGGGACTATATGTCAATCCATCCATTATAAGTGAATTGAACAAATGGAAAGGACGGTCAGCAGCTGATATTCAACAAAATTTGTCCTTCTTTAAGTCTATGTTTGAGGGTAAAAGTTGTGAATGATTTACAATTTTTAGCAGTTAAGGAGTAAGCAAAGAATTTTTTTTTTTCTTTTTATTGAGAAAGCAAAGAGATATTTTAAGATTGCTCATTAATATTCACTTCCATATTAACAGCTCCGTTTGAGAAATCATTACAGATTGTCCTGGTGAGAGATGTGGATGGTAAAACATTCTGGGATGCTCTGGATGATGCCATATCCCCAAGAATTAGAGCACCCACCCCTGTTGATGAATCTGCTCTGTCAACATTCCGTAGAATATTCCAAGGACGATCTCTTAATAAAGGAACTTTTATCTTTCTAACTTGGCTGGAACCTTCCAAAATGCTTGTGAGTGTGAATTCATTGGAAATTAGACATTCTTATCAGGCATGATTACATTTGGATGAGGTTTTCTTGGATATTAATTAAGAAAATGTAATCTTCACTTTTCACATCATCTCAACCTGTCTAGCTAATAATTTTGATTCTGTATTATGATTTTTCAGATCTGTGTCTCAAATGAGCTACCATCTGGCATAGATGCTATGGTTGAGTCAACCGATGTCACTCTTGCACTCTTTGATGTGTTTTTCGGAAATGCTCCAGTCTCTCCTTCTTTGAAAGCCTCCGTTGCCAATGAGCTGGCAGAAATACTCAAGTAAATATCATAAGTTATTTTCTTTACATCTGTTTCTGTAATGTGGCTAAGTTGATTTGTTCACTGCTTCATTGCTTAAGATATGCTGAAAATCTTCAATCTGTGAATGTACTCATAAGCCTTCTTTGCATACCTTAAATACTTCTGCATGCACATATCATTTTCAATATTAACTATTTACACACCATTGGGGAAGGAGTAATTTAACTGGTAGAATTTAAATTCAGTACAAACTATAAATTCTTAAGAAAATTAGGCTCTGTTTAGTATGATTGTGGTTTTGATTTTTATAAATTTTGCAACTTTAAACCAAAAATCCATTTAGCTCATAGCTGATTTTTAACGTTTTATAATTCTTAGAGAAATAAAAAACAAAAATAGTTTTAATACTACTAAACAGTGTTTTTAGTTTTTAGTTTTGGTTTTCAACAGCCACAAAATTTTTCAAAACCAAAATAAAAAGCCAAAAACTACAACCATAATAAACAGAGACTAAAATTTTTCTTGGAATCAATATACTCATTTATATTAGTTAATGTACAAGATGCTGTGCTTTGTGGTAAACATGTGCAGTTTACTGCACCTGCTTTTGTTCTTTTGTTTTATGTTATACCATTCCATACCTTACTATGGATTCATTTTCAGTGTATTCATGATGCCAAATAATGTATGGCCTCTCATAGTTATTCTTGAAGGACAAAAAGTCTTGGTAATCTAGTCCAACATCAAAAGATTCCTAGATACTTGGTGCAACAAGTAGTATACTGGTATCTAGGGTGATGAGCTTAGCCAGTAAATATAATCTTCTCATGTTGCTTATAGTTTCTTTTTTGCTTGCCAGGTATTTCCCTTGTGTTAGGGTAGGCATTAGTTCTTTGGTTATAGGTGCATCAAAGCTGTTATGTGTGCCAAACAATTATACATCATGGAAATGAAAAGGGGGAAATTATTATTATATATAAACTTGAGAATATTATGATAAAAAGATAGCAGCAATAAAAAAAAAAAAAAAATCTATGAATGGGTTACAACCTTTTCTGACTTGATCTGCTCTAGCATCTTGACAACTTTAGCCATGTTAGGCCTATTAGGAGGCTCTGTTTCAAGGCACATTAATGCAATACTGAAAACACTATTTATCTCATCAACTGGATAACAGCCCAATTTACTGTCAAGTACATACTCTTCCTTCTTATCTTCAACAACTGCTTTCACCTGCTCTAACATTAGTACAATGATTTATATAGAAATAATTGCTTTCTAAAAGCAATATCTAGTATTTCAAACATGTTTACTAATAACAAGTTGATCTCTGAACTACAGTAAGGTGAAGAGGGAAATTTTATGCCCATTTTGAAACTCTGTTATTTATGACTATAGTCTTACTACTGTTGGTTGAACTTTTAACTTCTATCTCTTCTTATTGTTATTACTTTTCTTTGGTTGAGCTACAAAATTTAAGGGGGTAGGCATTATCTCTCCTTCCCCAACTGAATTCTCAAAATGTTTGGTGAAGGCTGCAATTTATCTAAAATTATTGATATAGTAATCTAGGATTTATCATCAGAACTAAATGGAAACTTAAAACATATCATGATGCTATTGATGCTAGGAGAATGAAGTTTAGACCTTTTTAGTTAACCTCACTAAATTCTCACTAGAAAATGTTAACAAAACAAGAAAAAGCACAGGAAACTTTTTTGAGCCTTTGGAACTTTTAACAAGAAACAAATTGAAACTTCTTTGGATGTGAATTCAGCAAGAATGTAAGCCATGTGTGGAATAACGTATGTAATCTGTTTCTTGCAAAGTTCAAAAGTTTTGTAGCTTTTATGAAGTGGTGGATTTCTGGTAATGCCATGTTCAAGGAGTTAAAAAACATACCCAAGTGACAAGCTTGGTTCCCTCCTCCAGAAATGCTTCATCCATGGGTTTCTTTCCTGTTAAGAGCTCTAGCAAAACCACACCGAAGCTGTAGACATCACCTTTTGCTGTTGCCCTTCCTGTATCAAAGTATTCTGCAGAAGAATATTAAGCTGAATGTCAAACACTCAAGCACAAGAAGAGAGATTGGTTTTTTAAACTGTTTGGTCTATTTTACCTGGAGCCAAGTATCCAAAAGTTCCAGCTACGGCTGTTGAAACATGAGTCTTGTCGGGTTTCATCAATGTGGCAAGTCCAAAATCTGACACTCGAGCCTCCATGTTCTGATCCAGCAAGATATTGCTTGATTTGATGTCTCTATGGATTATGTGAGGAATGCAATCATGATGAAGGTAGGATATTCCTCTGGCAGCTCCTAATGCTATGTTATATCTTGTAGGCCAATCTAAAATCTTCTTATCCTTTAACGCTCCTGCATCACAGTGTACTTTAGCATCAAAATACCCTGCATCTGTGGAATTAGGGTTGAATAGCAGCTCTTGCAGTATGCTTTAACCATCATGTAGCCTTTGAAATTCACCATTTATTCCAGTTTCAGGTAGTTCTGATTTCTTAGATTTTGTTAAATTTGGATTCAGGTATTGGTTTTCTATTGAATCACTTACCATGAAGAAATTCATACAAACTTCCATTGGGCATTAGCTCATATACAAGAAGATTATAATGAGGAGCTGTGTAGTATCCATGAAGAGTCACAATGTTTCGGTGTTTAATGTCTCCCATTGCCTCCAATTCTCTCTCAAATCCTCTGTCCCTGTCTGCACTTCCTCTGTTTAGTCTCTTTGCAGCAAAAGCTGTTGCGTTATCAATGGTTAATCTGTACACTGTGCCATATCCACCAAAACCAATAATGTCATTGTTGCTTAGTTTTGATATCTTCTTCAAAAAGTCATCTGATGTCATAGACTGCAGTACTGGAGACCTAAAGATTACCATTTTCCCACCTGTATCAAGAAACCAACAAGTTTTTGTGAATCTTGTTATAGGTTTATCAAAACCCAAACAGGAAGTATCATTATGTTGAAGCTACCATGCATACCCGTGAAACCTTCTGCAAAAGCAATCTGTTTTCTTTTCCATCTCTTGTAAATGAGAACAGAAACGATAATCTTTGATATAAAAAAAGTGATGACAGATATGGTGATGTAGAGCGCTAGGATCTGTGCATGTCCCATTTGTTTCTGCATAGAAAGTTGGAAAGAGAATTAGAGAGAACAACATGGAACTCTAACTGAAATACACAGACTTCATGATTCTAAGTCCATACATTTCTAGTTTTCTAATCTTCAATTTCTAATTTAGAAGGCAGATTTGCTAGATTTCTAACAAAATCATTTCTCACCTTCTTTTTGATGCATAAAAGTTGCTTACTGCCTGTAGACCACAAAATAGGACATGATCAAGATAGTGACATTGTTGAATGGAAAAAAATCATAAGTAAATTGGAAAACTAGTTATGCACCATAACCTGCAATGAAGATTTAATAAAGAAAGACAGGAGCTTGAAGCTTAAGTCATCAAATAATTAATCTGCATCCTTATGAGCTTGTGGAATTATCTCTTGAACTCTGACAGGGAAGTAAAGAAGGAAATTATGATAATTGATAATAAGAACAAAGCATGCCAAGAAGCTGGAAAATGAAGAAGAGTGTCAATTTGAACTTTTGAGGTTTGTTCAATTCAACATTTCACACATACCCACTTCTCAACTTTCCTTTTTGTCTGCACCTTTTTGTTGACATTGCATGTTATATCAGGTGAGCTTCTCTGTACTTTTGAATAGTAAGGTATTAAAGCATATCCGGCGGTATGCATTGGGCGACAGGTGTATAATAATCGAATGGATCTGTGGAAATGCATTAGGCAAAGGTGAAGATAAGAATGAACTGATCATGTGAAGCTGTGCTGTCTCCATGTTTTCTTTCCCATCTGTCCCCTACCATAATG